TATTGCCTGTCCCTCAAAATAATTTGGAAAGTTTTAACTTAAATGAATAAACCCTAAAAAATGCATTAAATGTCAGTGCAGTTTCTGTTTCATCACCCTAGCAGCATGTCCCTTGCAGCAAACAGAGCTTTCTGGAAGGGCTGGTCACAACAGCACAGACCCAGGTACATTTTGTAAAACTTGGTTGTGACAACTGTATGCAGTAGTTACACCGAAACAGTTACCTTCTAAACCTGTTTCTGGCCAAGCCATCCCAGCAATGCTGAGTTCCTTCAGTGAGGAGGAGGACCAGGAACATCTGTGGGCCGTGCTGCGAGCCAGAGACCGAGCACAGGTTTAACTCTATCCAAGACTCAACATCTTTCTCTGAGAATGGAAGGGCCATGCAGAGTCATAGAGACAAAAGGCCACTTTGAGGTCTATAAAGGGCAAACACCCTGTTTACTGAGCATGAACAGCGCAAAAGATCTTTGAAGCAAATCCATGTTTTAGGTAGATAAATACACAGGGGTTTTTCTTCCTCTTTTTTTTTTTTTTTTTTCATCTATTTTATAAACATCTGTTAATGTGTCGTTCAGAATTTTGCTTTACAGTCCCCTGAACCTACCGTGTATTTTCAAGGTATTGGCAGCTGTCAAAGCCCTGTTTCACTTTGGACTAGCACACCTTAAAAATTCAGCTGTGGGACTGTTTTTCTACAATTCGGCATCTGCCTATCTCCATAATTCCCAAAAGGCAGCAAAGGATTCTGCATTAGCTGCACTGCTGTTGGGACAGGGGCAAAGCAAGGATCTGTTGACAGCACGGTAAGCTCTGGCAGCAGCAGGGCAAATAGGAAAGTGAACCGATGGCAACTTGCAATAGGTGATAAAATATGTATTTAAAACAAAAAGAATGAACTTACGTTGGGAACACACACCATAAGCAGTAAACTGCAATCACAGGTAAAAACAGGCACTACCTTTTTAAAGGACTCTGTTATGTTTTGAATCCCTTTCTCCTGTGGTTTACTTGTGGAATAAACACACATATATGCACACACACTTCCCACCCCTCACTTCCACTCCCAATAATAGCAAAAATAAACATGAAAAATAATATTAAAAAACTCTGTATTCATTAATATTCACACCAAAGTATATGTATAGATATATCCATTAAAATTATGAACATTTCTAAATATATTTTATGTATCATACATATATTTATATGTATAATTACATATCCACAGAAGTAGTCTTGCTGTGCTAAAGCCAGCAGTAAAAGCAAAAACAGGTTTCACAATAGGACACCCATATATGCATATGTACTGGCTGTTTGGTTTGTGAATTTATTTACAACTTAACTATATCATAATAAATGCTTACTGTTCTATTGTACAAACGTAATAGTAAAGGTTTAGGTTTGTTTTTTAAATACAAAGACTGCAAATGAATACATGAAAAAATTACACACCATGTACAGTATTTATAATTTATAAATGCAAAGTTAAGACCTCTTTAAATTATTGCACTTGCATATTTTTTGTTGTTTTTTTTTTTACAAAGACAGTTTATATGTATCATATATATATATATGTTTGTAAATATATATATATATATAAAACAAATTTTTCAGCTCACTAAATGTAGTAAAGTTGAATGTTGTTACCTTGAAGTTCTTTCTTCTTCACATAACAGCCCAACCTGAATTTTGAATATATATGAATCTACTCTACAAATCAGTTTGATCTATCCTAGAAAGCAGTCCGTTATTTTAGGTTTTTTGACAGAGTATACACCCGTATTACAATCGAGCACAGTTTTTGGTCAGAAAGCAAAACAAGAGTTATGGCGTGCCTTTGCTAGATTGGGATACATAACCTAAAGTCTGAACACGAACTTCCTTATAGCAGTGTGCAGAAAGCCTTTTCTATGCTTAGAATGAACAAATTAATCGTTCCACTGCACAGAGCTGCTCCTATATCACAGTGTTTGAGGCAAATGCATTATTTCAAGAGGGTCGTAATTGTTTTGTGCATCGAACAATCTCTATTTTTAAGATAAATAGTGCTATTTGCTATCCCTACAATTTCAACACTAAATGCTCTAAAATGCAGTCACAGCAAACTGATCACACTGTTCTAAGTTTAAACACATTAAAGAAGCCTGTGCCACATAAAAAGATGAATTCCACACTGCACGTCCCCTCCAATGTAAATATATTACTCCAAGTTAAAAAAAACACCCAAACTATTGCATTTCTCTAATGGTCAGTTATAAAAAAAGCTACTGCCACGAGTTGAACCATTACAGCAGAATGTTGCACTGCTGTACAAAATTCATAGATTAATTATAACAATGGAATTTCTGACAGTGCTGTAATAAAATATGCAACATCTCAGATAAGCATCATGCTATGTCAACTGTTTTTCTCACTTAGTGTATACCTTTGAGTCACCATTTCATAATACATTAGAAATGCTCAGATATGGCTTTGAACAGTCCTTTTACCTTTCCCAGGCTTAGAAAGGAAAAGCAATTGGAATTATTAACAAAAATAATGCAGTTCTGGGAGTATGAAGTCTAACCCTTCCAGGAAAGGAGAGATCTGTTGGGTTTTTTTACACAATGTTATTGATTTTGGAAAACGCCAGTTTTAGCAGGATAAAAATGCAAGGAAGAATGGCTTTTCGCAGTTTAAGTTAACGAGCGAGATGTCTTACAGATCTAGATGTCTTACTTTATTTGTGAGTTCAAGTCCAGAATTTTGAACAATTGAATCTCAACATGTACTTGAGCTATGAAATTCAAATGCAGCTTCAAAGTTTTACTTTTTGGTGGTTTTAACTTTGGAAGTGTGGGTATAACTCTGTTTCTACAAAAAATTTACACATCTGAGTCTGCACTCTGTAAATGCTAAACCAGACTAAATTTGCTTAGAAAATACAGCACATTGTGGCTATTTTTGTTGGTCTAGTTGCTAACAGAGTAACATTTGGTCATAACCCTTCCCCTTTTACACAGCAGGAAAACAAACCAAACCACAACCACTGGAGCCAAAATTTTTAATTCTAATGGACATTATACTATAGCAAACACGTATTTTATGTGGTTTGGATGGTTCTATATTAGAAACAATACCCGATTGACTTGAGACATTAATAGAACAACTTATTGCCAATTTGACAAATTTGCCAGGAAAACATGTTCTGTATCGGTACTTACAAACTTCAAAATGTAAAATACTATGTGACACTGCCAAATATTTTGAACGGTAACAGAACTAGTGAAGTTATCTTAACTGTCAATGAGTAAAAGACTAATTAAAGGCTTTCCACAACACAGTGTGACAAGGAATATTTTCCAATACTTTTAAGATCAGCATTCAAAGAGGGAGAGTAACAGCAAATATACTTAAGCCGTGAAGGAAAAATATTCCAGCCTGTTGTTGGGGTATCTGAATTTCAGGGAGTACTTTTGTAGTCACCATAGATTTGGGTAATTTCCATGTAAATTTGGAACCATGGATTGTGTCTTAAGTACTTAGTGGATGAAAGGTTGCATCTGTATGATTTAAAACAGAACTGCTAAGGAGTAAAGCAGAGGACACAGCATGAGATACTATTCATTCTGCTTTGGTGTAATTGTTTCCTGCCCTTTTTTTTTTTTTTTCCAAAACATTTTGCTGTGGTTCACAACGAATTTCTGCACTTAGAATTGGTAAAGCAAACTGAAAAAAATTATGAGGCTGCTGCTAGGTAATCTGTATCATACAAATAAGATAACTTCATATTGAATTCTTGACCTCTGGGATATCTGTGTACTGCAAAGGCTTATATGCATTTGTACGTCATGCGATAATGTATCACACCCTGTACACACGTACAGATACTGGTATGTGCTCGACCATAACAGAAGGCAAACTCAGAGAGTCCAAGTCATTTACATGAAACCCATAAGATGGCATGCTTATTAGGGCAATACAGCTCAACAGGCATGAGATGGAAAAAAGAGAAGCCGTGATGTATCATTAAGTCACTACTATTACTTGTTGCAACTACACAAATGGCCATGTTATCATGGAACCACTACAACAGTGTATTATCTATGAAAAAGCATATAATGCAGTATAGGCTGTATGTGAAAGGTGTGCAAAGACTTTATTGTCACCTACCATGTGGATCAATATGAAGATTTTTTTCCTCATTCTTTAAAGAGAAAGATAAAGGCAAATGAATTGTTGTTGAAACTCTGTACAATTGCACTAAATTTAAAAGAGTGACATTAAATGTAAGGTCTTAAAGTCTGCGCGTAAGTTTGTAAGGCTGAGGCCTAAGTCAGCACAGAACTGTAAACACAGTATTTTAGAGTACTTTTCTTCAGTCAGCTAGTCTTTCACTAAGAAAGGCAGTTCTAAGCCTGGAAATTTTGCTGAACTAGGGGGAAAAAAAGCACAGAGACAAACAGAGAAGTTTCCTAATTTCACTCATCTTGGGATGGGGGGAAAAGAGCAGTAGAAGACATGCAGTGTTACTGTGCAACACAAAAACTAGTCCATACAAAAACATTTTTGATTTATTGTGATGGTACCATAATCCCTCTTATCAGACCTGACTTTTCTGACAAGGCTTTTGTTCCCAGCAAGATAGCATACCTCAGGTATGTCTCTAATACTTTTTAAAATACAACTCAGCAGGTAGAAATAAAAATGATGATTTTACTTAATTGTGAGCTCGGCAAGGAAATCTTTGCTGTCACATTTAAATTTTAATCTGACACTTTTGTCACTAAGGGTACAAAAACTCCAACCTGAAACTCTCTCTCATATCAGAGATAAAAATCCAGTACTTTCAGTGTCTTAAGGGAGGAGTTGTCTAAGTTTATAAATCATTCTGAAGAACAAAGCACCATCACTAGCTCTTTCAAGACTTGCTTTGTGAGTGACAGACAATTTGCATCATGTTGCTTAATGGAGTACTTTAAAACTTTTAACCTGAATGTTGCTTTTCCTTTAGCTTGCAGCAAGAGAAGTCACTGTAACCTAAGCATGAATTATAGTCTCCAAGGATTCTGCTGGAGTTCAAACTGATTACAAGTAGATCACACATAAACATTCACAATAGCAATGGGTATATTGTTCTATTTATAGCCAAGAACTCCCAAGTGACACTGGTGTTAAAGCCAGCCACAGTACGGTATAATAAAAGTACCATTGAAACCCTTTACTAGAAAGATACAATTTAGAAGTACCCCCTAAGATATCCCCCCCCCCATCAGTTTTAAATTAAGGCCTCAGCAATGTAGCCCATGAGATAAGGCCAGTCTTTAATATTCACAAGTCGTAAGTTCTCTTTTGATAGCTGACTCCTAAACATCTGAATTGTCGTTTTCCCTCTGTTCACGTTGTGTCACTGGTGTAGGTCAGGAGACTGGCTGCCAGAGTCATTTATCCGGGGTAACTCCATGGGTGTTACCTTCCTAGGCAGATCTGCTTCTTAGTTAGCATTTTGTAGCTTTTCCTTTTCCTTTTTTTTTTTTTTTTTTGTTTTTCCCAATAAAAACAAAACAAACCAAAAAAGAACCCCTAAAACAAGAAGGGATGCTTTTCAGGTTAAAGCAATCTGCTGCTGCTGTTCAGTCATCGATCTTCACAGGAAGTGAATCTGAGGTTCCAGGAGCAAGGGACTGGGAGGGAATCCATATAGAGGCTTCCTCACCTCTTGTTACTTTCTCCCATTGGTTGAGATTGTCCCTGGAAATGCAAAAAAGTCACAGGTAAAGCACTGTTCATCAGTTTACTAGGACTTCTTCCTAACAATACTGTCAGCTGTATCATACTTCGAGATGTAGCTTTATGCTGTATGTAAGTAAGTGTATGGTCATCAAGCTTTTATCATCTTTACATTATTTCATCCTTCACCTTCAGTTATTTCGCAATTCTGTGTGGCTCCTACACACGTTGACTACATATAAGACTACAGCATACCTTCCCCAGAATGAGCCTGAAGCTGGAGGTAGCACATGCTTCCATTACAAATTTCTGTCCCTTGTGGCTGCAGAGAAAGCCCAGCTGTGACCCCAGAGAGACATGTCTGCAGACACTCTGAAACAGCAGTCTGGAGACAAGCCGCCTGCGGACTTCAGGGATTTTATCACAGCACACCTTGGCCCTTTACAAAACCACCATAGAGATCAGGACTTTTGCCAGGAAACTTCCCTCACTGGAAAGCACAGAAGCCCATTACGCCTTCCGAAACTCCTGCACATGGGCTGCCTGGCAGTGTATAAAATGTTGCGGGCCAACATCACTGTCTCAGCTATCAGTTACTAACGTGGTGATCATGCTGTTCAATCTACTACATTTAAAGAGAACCTCTTCCTCGAGACAGAAATTTTTTTAGTGTCTCACAGCCTGGACAACCCCCAAGTCCAAATTTTGGCTCACAAGCCATAAAATGGTGAGAAATTAAGCTGGTAATGTTCTAATGACCTGAAGGGAGGACAGACCCATAATCTTACTTGCTGTACACTAATACCACTCCAGTGACTTGGAAGTCTGCTGATGATATCCAATAGTGGACCATACTTGCAACCTATGGCCAAATCTAGCATTCAGTCTTCAAACACAGAGAGAAAGTGAGATAGCTCAGCTGCTTCAATTTCATACTATCAGATACCTAGCTACTAAAACAACAGTTCTTAGATGTCTTCAGTAAACAAACAGGATGGTAAAAGTACTAAGGTCTTACATGCTATGTGTCATATTATCGTATTACATCGGAATGTATGTGGCAGAGCTCTTCTGATTTTCATGTCACAGCTTTGCTGAAACAGTTGATAAAACAGCAAATAATGAGCTGAAAGCTCAGAGAAGAAGAGAAAATGTGGCATTTTCTGGGGATGGGGGAAGGCAGGATCTGATGGCGTCTACCGAAGAAATCTGGTGCCCTCTAGGGGAACGCCTACACCATTTTCTGCAGGCAGATATTAACCTGCTCTGCCAGAGCTCCAGGCCAACTAGAAGTCATGAAGCCAGCGTTAATACGGTGCTGAATCTCAGCTAATACAAACAGGCACTAAGGATCAGAAAAACTGAATTGTCAGTATTTCTAGGTCCCTTTCCTGAAACTGGGAAATAATGAGAATTGCAGCCAAAATATTTTTAAATTATATTCATTTCAGCCAGAACTGAGAAACCTGAAAGCACATGGAAAATTGTTTAAAATTATTTGGTCTGAAATAAAGGAAAAAATAAATCACCTCATCCTCAAAATAAATATACTGTCATAGATTTGCCAATTTGGTAGGCCTACTGAGTATGCGGGCTACAAAATACACATAGGACTTATTCTGAACACTGTAACGTGGGTGGCTGGTAGTTTTGATCTACACAGAATGACAAGAGAGTATTTAAAAATGTGGAATAAATTACCAGACAAGAAAACCTTCAGATTCTTAGCTGTTACCTTACCTCAGGGAAATCAGTGACTGATACTCTGATACTTTTTTTTTTTTTAAAAAAAGGTGTAGATAATATAATTCATTTGCCTTTGTGCTCCCAATGAAGCCCTGGCTCCTAAATGACTGGAATAAGCGCCCAGAAGCTCCCAAAATAAAAACCTTGATGCTGACATGTTGCCTAGGCTGCTTCTGCTGCTATTATTTGCAGCTAGTGTCTGCATTCCAAATAATTCAAGGACATGGCAGCTTCTTCCAAGAACAAGCACTGCTGGTGAAGGGGTGATAACAAAATTGGTTCAGTCCGCAGCTGAGGCAATACCAAACAGGAATGAGGCTGTATTCCTCTCATCACACCGAATAACAGTTACCCACCAAAAATAAAGGAAAAAGTAGTGTCGTGCAAAATCAGCTACTTTAAACACACCGGAGTAACATAAACCCTGCAATAACATGCATTTTAGTAACTGGGGAGTTGAAAGTAGACCTGTGTTCTTGATTTCCTACTCTGCATCTCTAAGTCTGAACTCTCAACAATTCCTCCTCAGTGCCCTCAAACAGACAGTGGAGCTTAATTTTAAGGCTAAGCTAAAACTATCAAACTGCTCCTCAGAAGACTTCATGCCAGCATGTTGATTTTCAGGAATCTTATGGAGATCTTAAACCCCATCCACACATCTATGCCCCAGTTTTGCCTCAGTTCTAAATTAAGGAATGCACAAGAGCAAGGTGGGGAGCTGTGTCTGTACAGAGCTGTGCCCAGTCTGAGGACTGTGCCAGTGTAGCTTACGGAAGTATCAGTATTATAATTGGATTCCAAACAATAAACATAATTTCTAGAATAGAAAAAGCTCCTATAATCTCTGCCATAAGTCTGATTGCTTTTACTTCAGACATCACACCTTTTGCAGAGTAACCCAGTCTTGAAAAGATGCTCATGCTTGATCTTCAGAATCATAGAGAACACATGAACACACGTAGAATCATCTAGAACATATATGTATGCAGGTGCTTGATACTCTACAATCAAATTTTAAACCTCCTCAGCTGAGTACTGAAAGATGGATCACCAAGTATCACAAGACACTTTTGCAAATGAGCCTCATTTAGATATCCATGTGGCTAGAAATCAAAAGATATGGGTCTTCCCAGAACCCTGCTCCTGGAAAAGACGGTGTGCAGTCTCAAGCACTTGACCTAGCCTCTCTAAGCCTCACTTCCCATTACGTGGAATAACAATGCTAATTTCTTACCAAAGGTACTGGCAGGCTTATGCAAATGATTCTACATTAAACACAAACACATTTTTAAAACCTCCCATTTGATTGTGCTAGTAACAGAACTTTCCTGACATCTAGCACTGAGGTTACTTTATTCATCATACAGACTCTGCAAGACATTTTCATGTTAAAAGCATATAGATACTGGTTTGGGGAGTAAAAGTACATCCAGATGTTGATGAATAAGTAATATAAAAGAAATAAAAATTTTCACATATATAAAGAAGTCTGACAATATTTGTTAGTTTGAGTAGAAACAAGTAACTGGAAACACTCATGAAAAACATTACTGCCTTTCTTATGGCAGGTATTACAGTAGATGCTGTTTAGCCCATGTAAACAGTATAAAACTCCGACTAAAAACACGGATACGCAAAGCACAAAGCACAATCTGTGTTCCAGTTACATGGATTGAATAACTGATCATTTAGCTTTTAGCCATCAACACAGCTAAAGCAACATGCCTTCAAGCAAGGATCACAAAGAGAAGTAGAACACTTCCCAAGATCTCAGACCACCTCTCAGTAAAGCAGCTGGATGACCCACAACCCCGTAAAGACTGAAAGGATTACAAGCAGTTCTGTAGTTTACTTCATGTTCTCTTATTTCACACTGAAAGCAACTCTAGCTGTCAGAGTACACATTATTCAATTACCTATAATCAAACTATCAACGTTTATATACTAGGTCTACAGGGCTCAGGCAGTACACACTCCCACCCGGTACTGTAGCTCCAAATTCCAAAACAGGATTTGGACTTTGATACCATTATGGTAGTAACACACTCCACGACAATTTGAAACCAGAGAAGAGTTTAATGCTATATTGTAACTGATGAAGCCACTAAAATATGGAAATGAGTCCACATTACTTAATTTAGGACAACAAATTACTGCCTATTATTTATCAGACATTGCTACTTTCACAGCATCCAAGGATGAAAGACACTACTATAAGGATCATCTGACCACCTGGAAGGACAGGACTTGGCAATTCCATCACAGGAGCTGTGCCTCAGGCCTGTATTGCTTTCACCTTTCTCTTTTAACAAGGTATACCTAGCCTTGGTTTAAGATCTTCAACTGACCTTATTCCATGCTATAAACCGACATTCACCATATTCTTTGTTTCAACCTTTGGGCTTCAAGTAGTTTTAACCTGCTAAATTAATGAGCTTTGTCTAATCAGAAAACACACTATGAAGACAGTTACAGATTTTGATAAAGTCGTTCTCTTGGATAAACTAAATACATTACGTCAGACTTTTTAGTCTCTCACTACTAAGATCTCAAAACATCCTTTAAGCCCTTTCTTAATCTTCTCTTATTTGCTAGTGTCTTTATCTACTCTTCTTAAAGCACAGATGTTAAACAGGATTCCAGCTGTTGCCCCATTAATGTAATAACTACAGAAATATAGTCTCTAATCCTCCTTAATATTCCCTCCATATCCATCTAAGGGTTGCACAGCCAGGCTCAGCAGGGAGACCTTAAAGGCAGCTGACTATTAGCCCTGGCTTGTAGATACTTGCTGTTTTTCATAAGATAGTCCTCTGACCCACTGGTACAGACCTACATATTCTTCTCATAGCTATATGAAATAATGTTTGGGTGCGAATGAAATTATTTTGCTAACCACTATGTTAAATGTCACAGTGTTTTGTAGATAGGGGGCACCCTTCTGTTTCTTCACACAGATAATTTCATCCACAAGATCAGGAAAGTGACAGAGTAAGTAAATCTGCCATACAGGACAAAGAAAAAGTTCAATGGAAGCTAGAATTTAAGGACCACAAGAGAGAAAAAAAAAAAAAAAAAAAAAAAAAATTATGAGGGCTGCTAGTGTGATCATAGAAAAAGGGGCTTTTTTTCCTTTTTTTCCCCCGGATGTGACTAAAGATTGCTGGCGTTTTATGAACCAACTGTTATTTAGAGAATACTAATTAATCTGAAACTGGAACATTTTCATGAAGTATACTGGTTTCAACGGAAGTTTTGTCAGGAAAGATTGATAAGGTCCAGGATATAATTATCAGACTGAACTACCTACAAAGAGATCCACCATCATTTCAGGGCAGAAGCAGCCAATTGGTTAAGGACACCTGCCTCTCTTCCAGAAGATCCCAGGTTACATCCCAACTGACTGATACGATAAAGTTGACATTTGCTTCTCCCACACCCCAGTGATACTACACTTATGCTCCCAATTACTGAATATTCCAGGGATCTTTCTTTTCCTGCTTTTTAATAAAAATGTTCTGACATGAAATAACACCACATGCCAAAACCACATCTTTTTAATGAAACAGAATTCTAGCCAATCTTAGTTGTGAGAACAGTACTGAAGTAAAAAGGACACAGAGAAACTGCACTGAACCAGCCTAGATAGGGATAACATAACCACTGAATCCATTCCTCTCTAAACGCCTTTTGGCCTCAAACACACTTTAATCAGCTGTGTCTCTAGATCTGCATTGGATAGTCCCAGCCAGTAATGACTGTCTCAGGGGTTCTGCACAGATTGATGCGAGATGCACGTCCCTGTTTATCTGCATACAAATTCTAAAATTAGAAGTCTGTATATCCAGACAAACTTGGAAAGCACGTTTGCGTTTTCTTTAACCAAGCTACGTGCTATGTAATAACTTCCACATTTACTCACCTGCATGCTCGGAGTAGTGGCCCAGTTGGAGGAAAGATCTGTGCAAGTGTGGTGTAACACGGGATGGCTACAGCATTGTAGAACCCAATCTATGAAAAACAGCAACGAAAAAAATAGTTAAATGTTGCCAAACTACAACACTGAAAGTTAATAGCCAACTAGCTCAAAGCTGTTGACTACTTACCTAATTACTACTTATGTTAGTACTTCATACTTCTGCATCTCCTCTTAATATCCAAATACTTTAAAATGAAGCACTAACAGTGAAGTCCCTGGCAATTACAAGTTGCTTACATGCCTGTCTCTTATGACTAACATGGCTGCTTCAGATAGGATTTTCTACAGGACCTTTTATTATTCAGTTGATTCAACTGATTTGCTCAGGATCTGTCTGGCTTTTTGGTGTCAGCAGTGGCAGGAAGCAGGTGCAGGTGGCAGAGCCATTCTCCAAACATTATTCTTGTGATGGAATTTTTTTCTAAAAAAGGAAAGTTGTGCAGCATTGCCAAAATACAGTCGGATTGTGGATTGTTCTGATGTGGTCCAGAGTATGTATTCCATAGCTTAATTTACTTGAGATGCTAGGGGCTTTGCACCTTTGGAAAGATTCTGAAAGGTGTGCACTGTGATCAATAAATGGTTTGCAGTTTCTTTTCATGTATGCAGTTCAGCGATATATTTTTATCATTATCATACAACTCTATTTAGAGAACATCAAATGAGCACCTTTTTAAGAGATCTGATTCATACAGGCTTAGGGGCCTATGACAGCTACCATGTCACAGCTGAATTGTCATGACACGAAGGAATTTTAGAAAATGCTACTTATATATTAGCAAGGATGACAGGTTAAATTCAGATCCATTATAACATCCTTTATTTATCCCTGACTCTCATGATAGTTACAGTAACGTGCTACGATCCCTTTCTTTGAGCAGAGTTTTTAAGCGCCTTTTAGTGAAATACCATGTACTGGATTGTTATCAAAGCATTTGATAAGAAGTCTCTTTTTTAACAGTCTAAACATTGGCCTTTATTCAGGAATTGAAGAGCAACTCTTGTCCTTGCCTCCATCAATACAGAGATTCCTCCCATACTGCTATGTAACCAAGTCCATTCTATACTTTAAAAAAAAATAAGATACATTTTTTGACCTAAGAACTCAACAGTCTGAGTTGAGGTAACCACAATGCACCCAGGCTGCACACAGCTGTGATGTCTGCTCATCAACAGAAAGTTTGCCATATTGCTTAGTGCATTTTATTTTCCTATGTGGTTTTTTCTGGTGGTTGGGTTTTTTTTTTTTTCCTTGTTTGTTTGTTTGTTTTTAAGGTGGACTATTTTATTTCACTGCAAAATAGCAGATTACTCCATAGCTATCAGAAATTAAAATGGGGCCTTAGGTACAGTCACACTGTAGACCTTCTGGCTCAACGTGAAGTGTGTTGCCATTGCAAAACAAGAAAGATTTGAACAAACTACGTTCACCCGCAATATATTCTGAACAACCTTCTCTTTGGAACCCCCGTATTCAGAATAAAACACGTCCTTTAAGGTCCTGAAAGCTTTTACGTTAAAATACACATTAATCAAGGAGAGAAAACCCTAAAAGGCTCAATGGATTTAGGTTTAGAATAAAGCCAAGCTAATTAAAAACATTCCTTTGCGAGAGTTTCCATTTTTGACCAGAGCAAACACACACAAATCCCTTTTGTAAAAGGGTTAGATTATCTGAATAAATTGATTGTTGTGTTGCTGTGGCTAGACAGAAAGCTTAGAGTTCACTCAGGTACAAGCAAACTATTGAGGTCACTGCAGGAAAGGCAGTGTACATATATCCTAAAGACGCATACGCAAGAGGAACTAGAAAATATCTTTCGTTTCTGAAATATATAGTTCTTGTCTCTCCAACTGTGCATCCTAAAGATACAGCTAGCTTTATGAGTTGGATCTTTAATGTTCTGACTGAAGTGAGAAATCACCCTTAACATTTTAATTCTTGCTGCGTAAAAGTAAATTTTTATTTTCAACTTGCAAACTGCATTTCTGTGATAAGCTTTGAATGGCTGAAGCATGTGAACTGTTCCTTCTCTCTCCCTTCATTACTCAGGCTGGCTTGACCTGACTATTAAAAGGGCTTTCAGGCCACTGCATAGTTTTGGCATTTCTATTTTCTTCACAGGTTGCAAAAGAAGGGGCAGAAAAGAGGGTGATGGGATCCTTGCTGAGTCAGGAACAAATCCTCAGTGCAGGCTCCACAGTAGGAAGACACCACAGTCAAAGGCCATACATGAATTGTACTGCAAAGGGTGTAAAGCACAACAGAGACAACTGATCCAGCCAACCAAGTGAGAGGAACAGCTAAGTACAAGCTATTCTCATCAAACATGAGTACTGGAGGCAGAAGTAGGGTTTTTTTACAGGGATCACGTTTTCTCACACATGGCTGTAATGTTGTTGCAAGGTACATACAGCAGCTACAACTATACTACTTAAACCTACTTTTAGCATCCTATTTTGCCTGATATTTTATTGTTATACTATTAAGAAGCATGAAACAGAGCACAAAGTAAAAAAGAACCTGATGAAGACAGTACCTGGAACAATACTTGGTGCGTTTGAAAGTGAAAAAAGAAAAAGCTTATTTCTTAGATCTGTGCTTTCAGCCCATTAACAATTCTTTCACAAATGCCGAGATGACTACATACTATAATACTTTGTACTTTGACATGTTCAAAGATAACTAATATAGTGTGTGGAGAAAAAAATCAAATGCAGAAAAATGTTTTTTTCTCTTTTTAGGCTTAAACACACAAATTTAGTAAATCAACTGCTAATTCCTGACTGTAATAAGGGTAATAGTTTTTATGCTAAAATACAATAGAGCATATGGAGTAAAGTGCTAGAATATAAAAATTTCTAGAGTCTTGCTTACCAAGTAAATAATCTACACTGACTTTGTGATACTTTGTCATTTCTAATTGATTTTACACATCATTGTTAGTTTCAGAGCTCATGAAATGCTTTTTAAGTGTTAACTACTAACAAAGTATCAGAGGCCACTGAAATTAAGTGTCTTATACATATATATGGATATGGATGGACAATGAACAATTTAAATTTATTTTTCTCTGCTCAGATAATCAAAGGAGAAGCTACCTTTTTCTTTTACCCAAAAAAAGTTAGTTCAAAGACCTTTCTTTCCCCTCAAATTTATGTTTAGAAAATATCAATTTTCCCTAGGGAAAGCACTAAAAAATAGTCATTTCTGCACATTTGTGTACAGGAAAATTGCTGTCCAAAGACTGAAAAACAGAAAACTGAGGCTCTTAGAAATATAACCTTTATTGCTTAGCCTCAAGAAAATCTTCAGGTTATTCTTTTTATTTTTTTTTTTTAGGAATGTCAAAAAGCAGTGGTTGTAGTTATCCAAAAAACTAATGAAGAACCATTAGTCTAAAATTACAGGCATTTTGAAATCTGAACCTGCATATTTTAACCAGGAGCAGGTGATCAAGTTCATTTTGCATTCAGGATAAAACAGGGAAACCTTTTAGCTAAGGGTTGAAGCAACCACTTACTAAGCTGAAAAAGTGTTATTGACACTTCTCAAAATCGTAGGCGATTGAGGTTTTAGCTAGAGTTACAGGTATGAAGAATGGAACAGGTGACCACAGCAAAGAGCACACTGCCATTTAAGTAAACATTTGAAAACAAGTTTTCCACTGTTACTTAAAAAAATTAACCCTGTTTTGCACGCAGAACACAGCAGCCCACATATCCTAACGTCAAGCACAATATTCACTAATACATAAAATGTTTTTTCCAGACATGTTTTATTAACACTGTAAACACGGATCATTTTACTGAGAGTTCATACCTGACCCTGAGGGACTTCATCTTTTTTGTCTCTGTCCATCATAGGAATAGGTTGAATACCCGTTTTCTTCATTTCATCACCCTGGAGAAAAGCAGATAGAGAGATTAGGAAAACAAAAATCAAGACAACTGAGATCTGAATTAATTTCCATCTTCTATTGTATGTAAATCTACAAATCCAGAATTTAAAAGAATGTGTGGTACCAATCTAAGGCAATCTCAGAAAACTGCCTAAGGAGGGGCTCATTGTACACATTCACCAAAATGATAATGTAAATAGCAGATCCTGAAAATGAAGTTTTTGAGTGAATGTACACAGTTTCCTTGTTTCTAAGAGTGTCTCCATAATAAAAAGCAACTGAAGGAATAAAAGCAAAGAAACCAGTTCATTCTATTCTGTTCTATTCATAGTAGTTTCATCTTTCAAAACATTACCTGTTTAAATCACTATAATACAACGACCAGTAGAACACAACTCACCCATCCAAGGAAAAGCTGAGTAAGAGACATGAATTTAGAATGTTCCCTCCTTGTCAAAAATCCAGTCTTTTTATAACCATGCTGATTTGAATAAGCTGCCTGTCAAACAGCCTTCTTTTCTTTAAGTACTTTATTCCTCTATATTCATAAGAGGAATACTGGGAAAGATGCAGTATATCCAAAGACCAGATATATGTAATGTACTAAAGAAAACTGACTCCTTATATTTCACCCATTACCAGCAGAGCAGCCAAAACACATTTCTGAGCACTGTACTGGGCCTGAACACAATTACTCCTCAAAAATCAGTAAGTAGCTGGTTACTTTCCGTAACAAATTAAGTTTTCCAAGTCTTATGCCTCAACTGCGTCGTCAAAGCACCACAGATGTTTAATCTTGAGGTTTTAAAGGCAACTACAGCCGTAGCAATGGTTGCTTTTGGCCACTCCTCACGTCTGAGATTCCAAAGTCAATGCAATCTTCAAACTGCTAACCTTCTGTATTGGGTTTCTGTGGCGAGGTTTTGGTAGCTGGGGAGCTACAGGGGTGACTTCTGTGAGAAGATGCCAGAAGCTTCCCCACGTCTGATAGTCAGTGCCAGCACTATAAGGGCTGCTATAGGGCAAGTTAACTCCATCCCAGCCAGACCAAATGCACCTTAGTTAGGGAGAAAGTTTATGCAGGATAACTGCTCATACAGTATTTGCTTATCTGTGTCCTTTAACACGAGATCAGCTTACAGAGGTTTAGTTATCCGAAAGCTTGGGACACTCCCTAAATCAGCGTTCTATGTTCCTGCTACAGTTAGTGAGGGCACCTCTAGAAGACAACTTATTACATCTTTCTCATAAGATTTTCTCAAGTCACATTCCAAGTGCCAACATGCCCTTCCAAGGGAGGACTTTGGCACCTTTACTTAAAGAGAAGTTTGCAATATAATAAATTGATTCTGGTCTAAGCAGAGCATCTTTATGTTTGACTGCCTTGAGCATAAAAAAGATGGGAACTTCTGGAAGTCAATTCCCTCTTGCATATTTGGCCTCAACATCACCTATTAACTATGATCCTGCTCAATTAGCCAACAAGAGATATCATCAGGAAGCTATTTTTGAATTGGTATCTGTACTATTCTCTCATATCACATATTTCTTTCACCAAGCAGTTAAGAGAGGCTAAAATCACCGACTCTAGTCTCTATTAGACCTTTTGCTGTTGAAAGAAACAAAAGGAAAGGCCTTGTTCCTCCGTTGATAAAAAGAGATACATGTAACAATTCCAAGCACAGAAATTCAGTGGGTTGTTATTTAAGAACTGTAAGTAAATTTTGGTTTTATGTGCCCCCAGTAAATAATATTTATTTCTTTTCCATTTGCTTGAACTACTGCAGCTGACTGATCAAGGACTGTCTGCAGCTACCACAGTCTCAAAGTTAAGAGCCTCAACACGAAACCATTTAGCATCATATAATTTTAAGCTCTTTGATTAACATAATATCAAGTGCTTGAGAAACACTTGAAGTTAGAGCTTTGAGGAAGCTGTCCAGCCTCTGACCAATTATGACAAAACTGAACAAAGCTCAGATTTATGTTCACCACTTCACCTTGAAAGAAAAAGGTATCACAGAATGGTTTGGGTTGGAAGGGACCTCTTGGGATCATCCAATCCATCCCACACACCTATCCCAGCAGGATCAGCTAGAGCAGACGATCCAGGGCTGTCAGGGTTTGTGTCCAGTCAGGTTTTGATTATCTCCAATGATGGAGACTTCTCAGCCTCTCTGGGCAACCTGTGCCACTGGTTGACCACCCTCACAGTAAAAAAGTATTACTTTTAGATAGAACACATGCATTAGAAACACCAGTGTTTTCTTCTGTTCAATATGTGCAAACACACATATAATACATTGTTGCAAAAAATATTGCTTTTATCCTCATAGATATGATCATGATCAGAAAGTTAAAAGCTGAAATTTCAAGCAAAGAAGTTTGTATCGTACTTGCAGTATGGTTATAATAAGTGGCTTACAAGTCTCTTAAAAAAACATTGCAGAAAGGGTTTAACAACCGCCTAGTGTCTCATATCTCAAAAAAATCGCAGCAGGCAAACATTATACAAGCCTGTAATCTTAGATAAATGTATTATTTTGCTTGAGTTGTAGCACTGGGAAAGCTTCATGCTGAGTAATATCAAGGTAGATCTCAGCTGATAACACTAGCTACACTGGGCTTTGTTCAACAGAAAAAGATAAGTGTGACATACCACAAAATTGCTGCAACCACTTCTGCAGTTATTGTTTTAGCTAATGATTACAGAAGGAAGAAATATTATAAAAACGCTCTGATTAAATGAATCAACATATTAAGATTATGAACACAAGTAGTAACTGGAAGCAAAATTCTATCCTACTTTTAGAACTGTAACATAATCACCCAATCTAGTCAAATATACTTTTCTAGAGTTTACCTTTTTTTTTCCCAATTAAGTAAAAATTTCTGCAGTGAAACACAATCTAAACTTTCTATTGGATTAGCTTTCCCAGGATTTTCTCTATATCTGTCTCCAGCTTTCCAGAAGCATTTAGACTTGTGGCTGGATTTGTCAGCCATCCTAACTGGACCACAACATATCCAACTTCTGCCACGTTATCAATTAACCTCTTCTTAAAGAGGATTCAGTAAAACAGCAATTACAGAATTCAGTTCCTGTCAATAACTTCTAATTTACATTTGCTCCATGAAGTAGCAATATAACAAGATCTACATTTATTAACTCATCCTTGGATTACAAAACAGGTTAAACTCTGAGCAGGCTCAATTATGTCCCTCATTCTACCCTTACTGTTGTTGAGTAGCAAAAATAGTTTGATCCTTCCTTCTCCACTGAGTCCACATGATTTGCATTAAAAAGCATTTTAACTTGTAAGCAAAAAAATTGAGTATGTTATCAGTCAGGCACATCAACATTAGACCTCCATTATATCACTCATAAGAACACTCACTTTCCAGTGCCGACATTTTAGAAAGTGAGTACTAAACTAGATCTTTGAGTTTATACAGTCAGCATTTTTCAAATATTTTACTGTAGTCCGAGCTGTTCATAATTAAGAGAATGAGAAAATGTGAATATCAAAAACACCCACAAGCCGTGCACACCTTGAATTTCATAACGAACATGCAGCAGGCAGGACAACAATCTCCACACTATATGCATGCTACATCAACTCTGTTGGCCTGATTTCCATTTTACACCTGTGTAAAACAGTAATAAGACCACTGAATTCTGCAGACTTCCAGAGGGCACATAATGGAAAAGAACAACACTTTACGATACACACGTGCAACAGCTGTTCTGAAAACACAGCGTATCTTCTAAAACCGCATAATTCAACTCTATGCAATGCCCTCAGAATTTATTCCTTGTCCCTAAAGTAGTCACTTCCACTTTAAAAATTAAATTATTAAAACGTTTACTCCTCAGTGTAAGACATGTGAGAGATTGCACCTTTCTTTTTGAACATGATTACATTAGCACAGCTCAGTGGCTTGTTCAATTCTCAGTACATCTTACGTGTGGAGTAACTTCCAGTATACTAAAAAAATCACCTCCCTCTGAGACCCAGTTATTGAGCTGGCTCACAAAGAAGAGTCAAATGGTCAGATCAGAACAATGTTAAGGTTTGTCATATTTGTTTTAGCATTTCCTGGACTCATACTACAACTTTATAGGTGTGTTTCAAGGCAGCTAACCTGAAAACTGGTTTCCTATTTTGGATTTCTAGAATATAAATAGATTCTTCACAAAACTACAGCTAGTGACTCAAAAAACCTTACAGATTTTCTTCTGTGTTCTGTTGCTTGGTCACTTTATCTTAGGATATACTTTCTAAATTAATCTTTACCAGAGAGAAAAAATGCCTCCTGAAAATTAGGAAGTTAACTCAGCTCTTTAAATAGCTTCACAGTAAACAACAAAACACATGCATGCACCAATGAACACTCTTTAAAACAAGTATGTTAAGTATTGATTGAAAAATACTTATGGTTGATTTTTTCTTCCTGGATATTTCCATTTGTAAAGAGAGTAAACAAAAGAAACGCACATACCTCAGCCCAGAACTCTGCATATATATCATTGGCTGTCAGTCTGGTAACTGGCCACAACTTTGTTACAGAACACAAATCACAAGCCGTCATCATCAGACCAATCACTCTGTCTCTAAAGTAAAATAACATGAAATTGTAAGTTTGGTAAAGAATTAATGATCCCACTGCAAAGATTTATTTGTCCTTCCTCAAGTCAATCAGCAGTAAAGTATATATACTACAGAATTTCTCCCATCTTGCTTGTTTCTTCCTCACTTGTTTATGACTCGTTGGTAAGGCATCACACAAATTGTGTATTATATTCCCTGTAGTATTCCCTGCATTGTTTACAACCAGAGTTCACTGACCATCTTCTGCACAATCACATTCAGACAGAAGTACACAAGAACGCCTGCCTGTTAAAACACTCGCATGACTCCTTAATTTTCTGAAAATACAGTACAAGCCTATAAAAAGAAAGAAGGCACATCCTGTTGCTGCATTTCTTTCTGTTCTTTAAAGACACAGGACTACGCTCCAAAAAAAAAAAAAAAAAAAAAAAGGAGGAAAAACTAGTTCTGAGTCTCTCTCAAGGTACTCTGTCATTGCTTTGTTGGAATGAGTTCTAACCCTGACAGAACAAGAATCCTACGTGTAACTGTCCTATACACTGACAAACCTGTTCACAGAATAATGGAACAGCATCAGTAGGATTATAATCATTATTAGAATAAGGCACACAAAGAAATCTTACTTAAACAGCTTTCTAGCACTCCTCTACTAGCCAAACCTATGGTTTATGAATCTAACTTTTATAAAGAAAATTCATGAATGAATTTTTGAGTTAACCACCCAATGGAGAATTTAAGATGACACTTAAGGACACCTGCATGTTCGTTAATAATGCCTATTCCATGAAAAAATGCATAAAACTTGCTAACTTGCCTGCCGATGTGAAGTTAGTCATTAAAACTGTACCAACAGACAAATACACCAGGGAAAATAAGCACACACTCATACATACACAATATAATCAATAGATAAATGTCAAAGTGCAATGCCTCTGAGTCAAGAAAGAGGATTCATTAGCCACGCAAGGGCCAAATTTAGCATTCCGTTGCATGTATGGATATCAACTAGAAGTCCTGGATTCTTTAGCCACATTACAAAATGATGTCCTATCTTTGAGCACGCGGCTTTGCACTGAAAATGCTCTGAGGGAAGTTAAGATTAAAAAAACCTCCAAAACTTAATAGAATATTCAATCACACACTAAAAAGCTGTGATCCTATTTAAATGGTATAAACCATTTAAATTCTAGATTTCTGGTACATTTCATTCTGAGATTATCAGGAGCTACTATATTGTTGTCTTTTTATGATGTTGAGGTTTATTCAAGCCTGATAAGCTTCAGCTCCATACTGGGAAATGAGCTTTTACAAACTGCCCTTCCTTCAGTGTGTAGTAATTTATTCAAAACTACTGGCAAAAACTCAGAAAGACGACCCAAACACCAAAGTTCCTTTTGAAAAGAAATCAGAATCTTGACTGGATATTTTCCCTTATTACCTCTTTAATTTTTTGCCTGCATTACATAAATGACAGGATCCAGTTCCCAGTAAAGCAGCTCTGAAGGGCTGTGTGAGCACTTTAATGAAGCCTGTTATGAGACACATCTCTTACCCATGGTGCACTATGTTCTGCTTATGTGGACAAGGACAGTCTTTTATGAATATGAATATATGCACTTGTGTATTTTTAAAACCTAGAGCTATCTTAATTCACAAAGGTTGAGATCTGATCAGAATTCTCTCCAAAAAAGCATGCTGACAGAATAATAAACATATTGATATAAAAATAAAACTAAGTAATTATTGCACTGTACCTTTTTCCCCACCACCTAACTGCCCACGCACTAACTTTCCTCTGCAGATGATCTGTCACTGAACTGTACAGATGACATCCAAAGGCAGTGACATGCAAATGTAACACACTGGAAACTACTGTTACACACTTGGAATTTTACACACAGCTGGTCTTAGAACTCTCAGATGTAATAAAATTACTGTGTATGCTGATTTTTTTTTTTCTCCCCCAAAATAAGGTTTTTCTTTCTAGGACTAAAGCCAAACTAATACTGGTTTGCTGCTTTACCTGTGTGCTTGATTCTTCAGGTTTAATGCTCCCGTCTGATGTAGCTCTTCAAGCTGTTTTCTGTTTCCAAAATACAGGGCAAGGTCTGTGGCGATGATGGCTTTCCGGATGATCTCAAGTACTTGCTCATATTCGCTGGAGCTCAGATTGGAGAAGACATTGTGCCCTTCCAGCTATGAAAAAGTAAAAAGCCAATAAAAAGCACAAGCTCTAATTCTGAGATGATTTTAGTCTTTACTTCACCAGACAGGTTACAACGGTTTTATAGCCCAATGACAATTTTTGTTGCAAATTCAAATGTTGAAATTCCCATTTTTAGCCTTCCTTTTTAAATACTGTCACAAAACCTATTGACTAAGCCACTGATTTGGTTTTGGGACTGCTCCTTCTGAAGCCTGAACGTATTAATAGAGAAAAATGCTAGCTTTTTCTTCCCTGGAGCACTTCGAGCACTTCGAGACAGTATTAGCTTGGGAACTTGTGATTCAATCCTGATCCAGAGTTGGAAGTTACACTCTGTTACATTGCCAACTCAAGCACTGCCAAGTTGGTAAACTGAGTGATTCACTCTGGAGTACAATTTTGATACTGCATAACACATAACGTGGATAAGGAAACGTCCAAGTTAAAGTACTAAAATAATTTGTTTTCATAGTGTTCCAAATGAAATGTGCCTGAAATTGCTCCACTTACCGATACAATTTTCTCTATAGAAATAGTTAATCACCGTATTTTAATGTATATGAACATATAAAAGAAAAGCTGCTTTGTTCAACCATGAGTGGACTGACTCATAAACTAAAGACAATGGTTTCCAGTATGGAGGTTCTGGCAACATGCCACTGTCATCCCTTTTCAATTTCCACTACGTATTATTGAGCATTTAACTGACAATATCCATGTACTGTGATCGCTTATGAAGCTATATCACATTTTGAAAAGTCGACGCTATTCGCTGTCTTTAAGATTTGGAAAACAAGTTGTCAAAAGTCTTCCTACTGTTGAGAGGAAACAGAGAAAAAGAATGAGCCAGCCATGTCAAAGTGTGCACATTCACAGGCTGAAAATATTATTAAAATACATCAAATACAGATGTGTTTTGACGTTTAACTGGCATTTGGGCTGAACCTCATTAAAAGTTTCCCTGACTTTTGTCAAGCATTTACATAATTTGTTCAAAATAAATCGTCTATGGTACAAATAGGTTTGGTTTCTCTCACGATCCGGAACATAAACATCATTTTCCAACATTTTTACTTGGATAAGTAGATTTATTGTGAATAATGAATAGAAAATACAATCCCTCTGTGTCTCAATGCTACTTTGACAGACTCATAAGTCATAAAACACGATGTTTAAAAAAAAAGTTCAGAACATTTTAACCCATCACCAACACTTTGGGAGCATTTTCGGGACTACTAGTAGTTTTCATGATTCAGGGTTTTGGGGACAATTTCCTCCCCAACCTTGGTGCCTAATCTACGAGAACAGACTACTTGTCCTAATACTTAAAATATTCTTGATTCTATTTTTTAGGCTTTAGAAGCTGCACTATCAGAAAGACCACTGTGACAGCTTCTGTTCATACTACCAGAAAAGAACTGATTCTGTTAAGTACTGACAGAAGCTGCCATTTCTGGGCATGTCACTTAGGCCTTTGAGTAGTACATACAAAATACAGATCCTAAGACTTTATTCTTTCCCTGGTGAGCTAAAGCTAGTGAATGGAATCCTCTGTATTTCTAAGTATGGTGTACACTAAAACTGCAGGTGGATGAGCAAAGCAGCTATAAAGTTTCAAACAGTGAAAAGTACTGCAAGTTACTAACATAAAACTCATTGAGATAAACCCTAAACGGTTTGGTGGGTTGGTTGGCTTTTTTTGGCAACAGTCCAGGCATTCAGTAAGGCTTTTTGATTCAAATGAAAAACAGCAAGTCCAAAAGGCTGCTCTAATCTGCCTTTGCTGTTACTAACCACCCATGGGCACTTAGGTGTCAGGGTCTGAATCCACTCTACAGCTCTGACCACCTGTCTCCCTCTCCTCACTCACACTGAAGGCCAAAGCTAGGAAGTAAGCAGGGAAGCAAAAGGGTTCCCTGCCCTCTTGGCAAATGGGACTTTCACTGATTACAACATTTCTGCAGGAAAAATGCAAAATGTTTTTTGAAGAATGACTGAAGTCTGCTTCACGTAGCCATAGCAGCATAGAGAAGTGTTAATGACTGAGGAACTTGCTCACTGTGCACAAACTCACATGAAGAATGAATACTAAAAATCTAATGCCATACCACCACTGAAGGATTCAATTACACCCTCCTACATGGAGGAGCACTCAGAGATAAAGCTTCCATTCTCTGATGAAATGTGTATGATACCTAAAACCATAATCACAAGATGTGCTTCTGAATACAATACAGAATATGTATTTTTCCTAAAAGGTGATTAGGTATTTAAGAAAATAAGTATCTTCCCCCTGAAAGACCAGAAAGAAAGAAAAGTTAACAATGAATTAGTGGCACAGTAGCATGGTAAGGCTGTGCATTGAGCATGTGCACGGTAAACTAAAATCAGTGAGCACAAGTTATGTTACGGCACAAGTATGTTATGGACTGGCAGTGGTTTCATAGGTGAGAGTTGCCACTCTTCTAATTGAGCATGAAAAAAGTTTCTACTGACAACAAAATATCTGTGTGTCACTAGCACACTAGGACTTCCCAAAATGTGTCTGCATACGTTCCTGTAGTTTTCTATTCATTAACCATACAGACACATTACCTCATATTAGGAACTCTCTTTCACAGAGTATTACCTTACTCAGTTTTTTTTTATTTCAGATTGCTGAATAACAAAAAAAGCACATGATAACATAACAAAACAAGCTTAAACTTTCCACACGTGCAAAATTAACACTTTCTCCTTCATGCCACACGTTTAATGTTCAGGGAATTTATTACAGCAGATTTTCAAGCTTCGCATGCAAACTTTGCCAGTACTCGAGTTTTTATTCAGAATTTCAGGATGGTTGAAGACTTTGTTGAGGCACATTATGTCAGAAATATCTCAGTGAGAAACTGATTTTTCATTTTCAAAGATCCTATTCTGTATGGTCATAGGAAGAATCCTCAGCGACCCAGAAGCAAAAAGGTCCAAAGGAAGGTCATAAGCAAAGACCTTCAAATACACAGTATTTTTTATAACATCAAGATTTTGGGAAAGCAACATTTTGCACTATTATGGAATGCTTGGGTTGCCAATTGTGGAACCCAGCTTGCTGTAATAAATCTTCCACTCTTCTAAATGAGCACTACAATCTGGAAATCAAATTAAGCATGCTTCAAAAAATCTACAGGGTAATGATGTGACTCCTGTTTCCACCACTGGACATTACTGCACGGAAGATACAATTTCAATAATCCTACCTGCAGAATGGACACAGTCTGTGAGAAGTGGTGCTGTTCCATTGTTGATGTGGAATAGAGAGCAGCTAAGGGGTGATCAAATTTCTGAAGATAGCTGTTGCTGTAACCTCTGTGATCCAGGTCATGACACAGGCATGCAACTAAAAGACCTTTTCGCTACAAAAAAATTGAGATAAACGTGAAAAGTAAGATGTATTTCCTGCCCCTAGATGTCACTCTCTTCCCAAAATACTGTAAAAGCTGCACTATGCTTACTCTGCCTTCAAAAAGCACATGGAGAAACACCCTTAAAATTGCGAGAAACACAAAAATGAAGACGAGCTGAATTAAAATTCTCAGTCCAATTGTCATTCAAACCTTTTATATATTATGAATTTAAAAAACGTTGTGCAATCACATGCTATGGGAGGGATTCTGCTTCGGGAAGAAGGCTGAGTTTTAAACAGATAGTCTGGTCATCCACTGAAACCTTATCATGTTTATTAAAAAAATAAAAAGTGCTGTTATTGAGGAAGAAGAAATACATGGATGTATGAACTCCTGGTCAAAGCAGCTGCACCGAAGTCCAATGCTAGACCTGCCTCTGGAACACACCTCAAACACACTGACCATGTCTCCTAGGCAAAACTTTTCATAGGAAGTTGCTCATATGAGCCACAGAAACACTGGACAATGGCAAATGCAAACAAAGTAAGATGGTAATTGATTTTTTTATTTAATTAACTCAATATCCTGAAGAAACAAAATCCCTGAAATCTCTCTAATTTCTGATTATGCAATGCCTAATCCAAGTGCTCTTGACCTTGTACACTTTATCGCTGCTTGGATCCCAACTCTTTGACCACTGCCAACTGCTGAATCTATTTGTCTCTACATCAGCGTCCCCTTTACAGTGTGTTTCATACTTCTCTTCCCTTCTCTAAGTCTATCAAGGTTCATGTCATCATCCTTCACCTGAAACCAGCCCATCCTAGTTCCCCAAACTTTCCTGTATTCTTGTCGGATACATCTCCAGTCTCAAGAAAGGAGACTGCTAGAAAGAGCTGGAACGTAAGACTGGGATTAGGCATTCCAACAGATGAAGGCTGGCTGGAGTTTGGCAGGGAACAAAGACTGTTTCCATCTCTCTTAACAGCTGCCTCTTTTGCTCTCCCTGTCTTTCTTACATTGCATCTCCAAAAACATGGGGCTTGCTACTTGATCAGTACTGAATGTTATCAGAGCTTTAAATATTCCCTGAGGCTGCAATCCACAGATTTTTGTTGTTAAAGAAATACTGATTTTTTTCAAACTTGTATGGCTTTGCCAGCTTCCAGCATATGCCTGGCAAATGCCACTTTCCTATTCAGTGTCAATTTTCAAGTCCCTGCTTTACAGCAGAATAAACTAGATCTTTTCAAATGAAAGATGACCAAATTTTATTTTACCCTTATACTTATTACTGAACAAAAACTTGACTTGTCCTAGCATATTTCTTTAAAAGAGTCAAAGAATTTTGGCTGAAATTTCCCCAAATGAATCAGCTTGAGGAAGTCATGGAGCTTGGAAAATCACAGCCCAAATGGCTAGTATTTGGCAGTTAAACACAACTGAAAACAGGTTCTCCCAGTCCAAAGTTTCATGTAGTATTAATAATAGACAACACTCCCAGTTGCACCTATCATGTAATTCAGAAAAAAAACGAAGTGACAGTTCTTCACAGTGTATATTTACATATTAACCATCCTAAGCCTTCCATTTTATTATTATAACCTTTCCAGTTAAAGTCTATTCAAAGTATTTTTTCCTGATTGTTTTTTTTAAACACTATGCATTTATCTTTAAAATATGTGCATGCATGATAAGGAAAACTGTAGCATAATAAAAGTTGGACAGTGAATTAGGACATTTGGACAACTGGTTTCCTTCCATCCTTTTTACTCTTCTCCTTTACTCACATATGCCAACCATCTCTGCAACACCAAGTCCTTCTCCCTTGACCTCCTATTCAAATCTACCGGACCCCACAGTGTTCAAGATCAAGGGTGTTCCCCCCCCCTCACTACAGATCTGACAGTTACTTAAATAATTAAAATAGACTGTGGGCAAGGAGAATCTGAAAACGTGGACATGGACGTATAGCAAATCTGCTAATGCTTCTTCAGTGGGCAGTCCTGAAACATGCAAAGGAAACACTAGGATTAGGACTCTGAGTAATTCTCCTTCCTCAAGCTTTCTACACACACCTATTCCTCTACAGGGACCTTTATAAACACTCTGCCCAAGCTGACAGCAAAACTCCAATATAGAAAATGTATTTCTATGATGGCTGATATACCTTTGATAAGGTCTAGTAACTGATACGATCATTTCACCTACCTCTAAATCAGTGAAAAGCCCTTGGTTATTCTGAAGTATGGCATACATGCAATGTGCAACGGTAACTGCATGCTTCCAGTTGTGGTAGGGCACACGGCGATAGTTCTTCTTTACAGACATAGTAAATCGGCAGAGCTTTTCAAGTTCAAAGCTAGAAAGAAATTAATTTGGTCAGAGACAAGCAATAGGAATGGGAAAAAAAATAAACAGCAGAGAAAAGATGTTCTTTGATCTACTCCTCTTGCTAGGATTGACTCTCATTGCAGATGACTCATTGATTACAAGAGTCATTCAAGTTTTGGCAAGAACAGAGGAACATGGATACCTGGCAATGGCCTTAGTTTAATCTGTAAAGTTCTAGAACATAAGTCAAGCTACCCAGCTCAGGCAACACAACTGCATAACCTTTCCTGCTCCCAGAAACTTAAAGTGCAGTTTCTTTAAAACATTATCTATTCAACCTGCCAAACAGTGAAAATATGCATCTAATGGACAACTTGAAAACATCATTTGTAAGCAGAACAGAAAATTACGTGTTTTTTTTAAGCAAATGACAAAGAAGAAATAATCCTGTTTAAATTAAAATTTCAAACACCAAAACGCCAAAGTTGTTTTGAATAAGAGGTTGAAATGCTCCATACTGACATTGTGAAAAGACGACTTTATTTCTTCCAAGACTAAGATTCTTTTCCAGTTTAGCCAAATAAACAGAAATTCACATTTCACTGTTTATTCATTTTTTGCCAAATATTTTGTGAAGTAATTGCCAGTCAACCATGAAAATGCCTCAAATCTATATCATTTAAGGGATTATTTCTTAAAGATTTTTTTGTATTTTTTGCTAGTAATATAGACAAGCAAAATGAATTTATGATCAAGAGCATTTTCACTAAGGTAATAATAAAAAGCAATAAAAAAGTAATTGTTAGGTTTGGCTCATGTACTCAACAAAAACACCTCCGAGAGAGTTGTTCTGTACCGAGGTATATTGTACTACCAGAGCCCTCCACAATCTTGAACAGATTTTATCTAGTGATGTTCCTTTGAAAGGAAAGCTGAATACTTTTTGTGTACAGATAGGAAATTCAGAAACAGATTAGATATCAGATAAAATTTTCTAAAGTACCTAATCCGAGCTGCCCGGGGTGAAAATGGAGTATCACACTTGAGTCCAGAACTGAACTGAAGATGCCAGAGTCTCAAGTCACTGCCTTTTTCCCTCATAAACAGATCATAGAATCAAAGAATGGTTTGAGTTGGAAGCGACCTCAAAGATTATCTACTTCCACCCCCCCTGCCACAGCAGGGAAACCTCCCACTAGACCAGGTTGCTCAAGGCTCCATCCAGCCTGGTCCTGAATACTGTCATGGGCCCCATCCACACCTTCCTTAGGCAACCTGTGTCAGTGCCTCACTACCCGCAGGGTGAAGAACTTCTTCCTTGTATCCAGTCTAAACCTGCCCTCTCCCAGTTTCCAACCATTACCCCTCGTCCTATCACTGCAGGCCCTTGTAAAAAGTCCCTTCCCAGCCTTCTTATAGGCCCCCTTCAGGTGCTGGAAGGCTGCTATAAGGTCTTCCCAGAGCCTTCTCTTTTCCAGGCTGAACAAATCGAACTCTCTCAGCCTGTCCTCGTAGGAAAGG